AACTTGAATTTCAAAATACAATTCATCATGCCTTCCGTCCCTGTTGTTGTCCTCTTCTCTTGACTGGATAAACAAAATCCACACTTTAAAACATTACACTGCAAAAGCAAAAAGTAAATGCATAAGCAAACTTAAAACTAAATACCAAGTTTAGCAGTAACAGTACCTTAATCATGGTGCAGTGATTGTGTTTCTTCATAATTTGACTGAAATATGCATAACTACTACATATGATAGGGGCCTCCAACTTGTCAGTTTCAACAATTAGTAAGTATTCATGCTTGAAATGGATATCTGGTTGCTCTCGGTATGAATCACTTTTTACCCAGAAACCTATGTAAGAAATATAGTATATGACGAGCAATTTAGTAACTTTATGCAACCTATGTTACTGTTTTGTAAAGTAAGAAAATATCCACTCAGGTAAATCTTAATAAATGTCTCAGTAAGTAAGGTTTAGCGTCATTATTATTAATTTCGCAGAACTATAAATTATAGATTGCATTTAGTCACATGGTTTGAGCATATTTATTTTACTAATGATGCATTATGTTACAATACCATGGCTTCTATAAGCAATTAGTAAGGGTGATACAATGGTCAAAACAAGTATTAGAAAGAGAAATAATGTAGCTTTAGAGCAAACTGCACTTTTGTATTCATAACGAATACATTCTGAAAACACCGTGTACACCGCCATTGTGAAACAAACCACATGTAGCGTTGCCAACATAGGCCTAAGCCAAGGATGTAGAACAGGTCATAGCACAAACACAATACTTGTTTCTAGTACAAATATAAATACATAGTTATAACAGCCATTTAGAGATGTTTGAAACTACAGTATTACATCAAAATAATCATGATGAGAAACCATCATCATTATCGATTTTTATGTTAGAACCTACGTGGAATTTCATGATAAATGGCAGTGTTGGTAGAATTTGAGGTTCTATCCGCGGCGAGTATGAAGATGGCTGTCTTCTGGGCTGTAGTTTAGTGTAGTGCGGTGCAAGTTTATCATCGGCGGTACTGGCCAGAGGATAGTCTTGTTCGGCACTAATGGTAATAAAAGCTGACTTTTGGGGATAGCCAGTTGAATTTACTGTAAATCATAATCCTTGCACTTGTGCACTTCTGTTGCAGAAATCTGTAAATTTTAACACAATTTTGTTGTGTGTAATTCCTTGAAATTTATTTTGTAAAAATGTAATGTGAGTTTATTGGCTTTCGTCTATTTTGTTCAAGCTAACAAACACATCATTCATGCAAATTTGGAAACAATTTCTGAATTTGAAATAATAATATTAGTATCATCTGCAAAAAGTATGGGTTTAGACAGAGTTAATGGTTGGCAGTAAATCATTAATATTTTATATATCTAAATGAGGAAAAGCAGATGATCAAATATTGAACGTTGAGGAACTCCATGTTCTGTAATGCTCAAATTTGAATCTGCTTATTCTATTTCTACTTGTTCCCTTCCGCCATGAATGTATAATGTAAACCGCTGACCAACTATATTTTGAATTCCACAAAAATATAATTTTATAATAATAATTCATGGTTTATACAATCCAATGCTTTAGAAAGATCACAAGTAGTAGTATGTCACAAATAAATCTACCCATTACATATAGTTTAAAATTATATTAACTATTTATATTATATAAGGATAACAAAACATTGATGAACATAATTATTTATTTGTAAACATTAGAAACTCATCAACAGAGTAAAAGGAGTGTGTAATTAAGTATCTTTTTAGCATTGCTTTAAACTGTGCCTTTTTTATAAGACTAGTGAGACAAGATGGTAGACTTGAACATTTTGATGCATGCATCATATGAATCTCTGAAAACATAAGAGGTTGTCAATTGGTCTACGGAACCGATTCTTATTTCTTGTGCTGGTACTGTTTATAGTGGAATTAGTTTGAAAATGTCCTTGGCTATTTACTCTGAAGTTAATATGCATTCACCCAGAAGAGTTAAAATCTCTAATCTCTTGCATAGACTTCTACATGAATTTTTAGGTTTGACACCTGCCATTAATTTAGCATTTTTCGTTTGTAAAGTGAATATCATTTTGCTGCCTTGTGGGACACCTGATTCAATCGGTATGAGAGATGTTTGTTCTTCTTGATATTTCACATAGAAGTATCTATCACTCAAGTATGATTTGAGGATCTGATAATAATCGTTTGGAAAATCCCGCTTTATTTTAAAGAGCAGTCCTGTATGCCAGACTTTATCAAAAGCTTGGCAGATGTCCAGAAAGGCAGCTGAACAATATATTTTTAAGTGTAGGTCTTGGTTGTTCTTATTTACAACTCTGTGAACTTGTTCTATTGTGGCGTGTTCCTGTCTGAAGCCGAATTGATGGTCCAGGATCAATTTTTTTCTATAAGTATTGGTTTTAATTTTTGGAGTAATATTTTTTTGAATAACTTCGACATGATTGGTACCAGACTGACAGGTCGATACGATGTAATTTCTTCCGGATATTTTTCCAGGTTTTGGGATGAGAATTATCTGTGCCACTTTCCACTGATCTGCGAAGATGCCTGTTCTCAGTATTGCATTTCTGATAATTCTTTTAGAACTTTGCTTGTAATTAAGTCATATCCAGGAGCATTTTTCTGATTCAAATTATTTTTTATAATCATCTTAACTTCATTTATTTTGATTTTCTTAATAGACAAATCCAGCTGAAATGGAGCTTCTAAGAAGTCATGTATGACATTATTTTCTTCTGCTGTGCATGTTGCTGCGAATTATTGAAATAGTTTTTATAAGTGTTTCCCAAATGCGAAGGCTTTTTATTGTTCATTTTTTGTCCATCCTCCCTCGTTTAATTTGATAGGAGGGATGGGAGATTCCGGTTGTTTTAGTCGTTTGGTGACTTTCCATAACGAACAATTAGTGGCAATAAGAAAGTTGGATAACATTTTGTAGGCAGGTGATAAGATGGAGATTCGTGGATAATTATTACAATGAGTCTTGTCATCCTTCTTATGAATTCCTTCCACTGCTGTGGCATTTCCTGCTAATTCCATATAGAGCAAATAAGTTTCTTTGTCTCAGAACGCAACGTTTCGCCTCCTGCTGTGATCAATGCGGCCGGAATCTGATCAGTACCTGGGGATTTGTACTTTTTCAACTTCTCAATAGCAGTTTTCGCAAGTCTAGATTTTGGCACTAATAGCTCAGCCGTATGTAACCCGCAAATGTATAACACCTGGTTAAAGAAATTTTCCCACCTATTCAAAACCCTGTGGTGATCTGCGAGCATATAATCATTCTCATCTTTGACAATATAAGCTGTAGGTTGGTAACCTTTCTTAAATTCATTTACGCTTCTGTATACATCTCAAATATTTTTGTTTCTCTAATTAATTTAAAGTTAATTAATGTTATGTTTCAGTTATTCCCTTTTCTTCTTCCTAAATGTCCTGCTTGTTTCACGTCTTAAAATTTGCAGACTAGCTCAATTGATTTGGTTTGTGTTTTGCAATCATTGTATTTTTGCCTGCTACCGCTTGTATATTAATGTTGAGCACTCATCATCAAACCATGGTTTACTATGCTTTAGTTTGTGATAAACTAGATTCTCTTTGGCTGAGGTCTTGATATTGTCCGTAATAATTTCTCATGTAGATATTAATATCCAAACTGCCATCTAAGTTCTCTAAAGCCGCAAATCTATTGGAGATTTCTACCTGGTACTTTCCCTTAACTTGTACATCATTGAGTTTCTTCAAATCAAATCTTTCTAAATCAAATTTTTGACTTTCTTGTTTACTAGCTGAAAGTCTGTCCCTTAATTTTGTCACTAACAGGTAATGATCAGTATCACAGTCAACTCTTCTGAAGGATTTGACATCTAATACACTGGAGTGTCATCTTTTTTTAATTAAAACATGACCTGAGTATGCGTGACACCATCAGGAGAAATCCAAGTATTATTATGAATGTCATGGCGAGGGACTGTCATACTTTTGTCAATTAGATTTTTAGAAGTTAAAAAATTTACTACTCTTACCTAGGTGTCATTACTAACTTCATGTAGACTTTCTTTACCCTGAAACGTTGGTATACTGCCAGATTACACTGCGCTACAAACCAGAAGAAAGCCATCTTTGTACTCACCGCAGTGTGAACCTCAGATTCTACTTTGAAACTGACAGCGACAGAACCAATCAGGAGGCCACTTCTTAGCCGTTGTACACAACAACCATCTGCCTTGAAAATATGCCTGCAATTAACGGCATCTGCCCTCAGTGACCTGTTTGGCAATGCTGACCAGTACTAAAGGAAATCAGAATGTAGACTTCGCAAGTTGGATAGTAGATATATTTCGTTCTCTCTGCCACCACCCACATACAGTTTCAGTATTCCTCCCAGAGTTGCAGAGATCCGTTCTTGAAAGTAGATTAGATACATTATATGATAATTAGATTAAATTATTTTTCTGTGACAACGTTTAACGTTGTCTACAGACCTATTGCTACGCTGTTATCACTAACGGGGTCACCGACTTCCTTCAGCCCTCACGCATTTAAAATACCGAGCTCAATAAAGTGAGAGAACACTACGGGGTTACTGTAAACAATTCCTGTCGCGAATCAGGTCAGGGCGTATCTTCCTTACCGCGAAGTGACGCTGTTGCTTTGTTACCCAGATTGTATCGTGTTACGAGCAGTTCGTGGCGGGCGTGACACATGAATTCTACACCATTCCTGTTTGGAGTGGAATCAAAGGATTTGATGCAAAAATGACACATCTTTGATTTAAGATTTTTTTTGGAATACACGTCGTCTTGCTTACCACGTATTCTTGAATGTTTCTGAAGTATGGCTCCTTTGTGTGAGGGTAAACATTACCAAATATCTGAAGACAAATGTTTAAAGTAAATGTTCAAACGTAACGGCGATGAAGAAATTCGGGAACTGATAATTTTGCATAATAAGGAACTTTGATTTATTTGGGTGACCCAGTGTCATATTTGGGCCCAACGACCGCTGCCTTCCTTGGCCACTTGCAATTATTCTACCATCTGACAGCTTATGGAGCTGAGAAAATGTTAAATAAACTATGGATCAGTCATGTAGGTTTTGAGGTTTTCATGGCGGTGAGTCTGCAGATGGTTGTCTTCTGGGTTGTTGCGCCGTGTAGTCTGGTGGAAGTTTACCGACGTTTCAGAGGTCATACTGCCTCCGTCATCAGGGCGATGAGTATGAAGATTTCTGTCTTCTGGGTTGTTGCGCTGTGTAGTCTGGTCGATGTTAACCAACGTTTGAGAGGTCATACTGCCTCCGTCATCAGAGTATGAAGATTTCTGTCTTCTGGGTTGTTGCGC